GGAAGACGCGGGTGAGGGGGGAGACGGGAAGGAGGAGACGGGGAAGCGAGGGTGGTGAGAGACAGAGGAGAAAGAGTGGAGGGAAGCAACGAGAGAACGGTGCTTTGCGCTCACGCCAGGCTCCGAGACGCCTCAGGACTCACGCGTGCTTTTGAGAGTAAGGCCGCATGACTCACGCGAGAGCCTTGCAGAGGTCGGGGAGTATGTTGCGATCGACGATGTCATTGGCCCACGTGTCCGACACGTTGGCGAGGCGGCCCAACGAGAGAATCGCGGCGGATCGCACGGACGACATGACGTCATGCATGAGCGGCAGGAGCAGCTGCATGGCGCCCAACGAAAAGAACGCCTCCGCGTTCTGCGGCGCGTGTGGCGGGGAGGATGGAGGGGACGAGGGGGAAAAGGGGGAGGAGGGGAAACGCAAGCGAACAGAGCATGAAAGAAGGCGCGGGTGGCTGAGACGAGGGCTATAGAGAGGGGATACGGGGGAAGCTGGGAGGTGGAAGGGAGGGGTGGCGGGAAGGGGAGGGGTAGGGAAGTCCTCTTTGTGGCCCCATCTGTTAGAGGAGGTGAGGGCGAAGGGGTCACGGTTTTGCCCTGGCAGTTACGCCAACACGACGGGTCGGACGAGCGCTGCTCATCGCCGTCCTATCCTCACAACCCTACCGCGAGTAACTACCGCGAGCTTAGAACTATCGCGAGCCTTGCAGCAGCGCGAGCCACGAAGTACCGCAGAACCGAGGGCTATCTGCTCCCACCGTCCTGCACCCTGACTCTTCTCGTCGCCTTGCCTTCCTCCGTCTCTACCCGTTCAATTGATCTACCAGAGCTCCCCTCAGCTTCCGCGTCCTTCCCTTCCGCCGCTGCCCCCTTACCCTCCCCTCTCCTCCCCTCGCTTCCCCTCCCCCCCACTTCCCTCCAATTGCCTCCCCTTCCCCTCGCCTCCCTATTGCACCGCATAGCGTCGAACCTCTGCCTCGCCCCGAACCCCCTCTGCCCGTCGATGCGTCCGTCCGCCACGTCAGCTTCATTCTCCAGGGACCCTGCACCCGGCTCCTACACGGCACGCCACACAGCCCTCTACCTCCGCTGCTGCCGCTTCAGACGTCGCCATCCCGACAAAAAACGCACCGTCCGCTGCTCGTCGTGCGAACCAGACCTGGCGGAACCTACTGCTGCTCGTGCGCCAAGCGGAACCTGTCCGCTGCTCGCCTTTCCGCAAAGCTACTTCCGAAGTGTCTCACGGCCTGTGTGGGAGAGAGAGAGAGAGAAAAAAAAAAGCGTTACCTGCGGGGAGAAGGCGAGGTCGCTGACTTTCCCGACGAACTGGATGCGCGCGTCGTGGTACGTCTCCATCGCCGACACCACGGCCCGCGCCGCCCTGCCAGGTGGCAGCACGGCGGCAGCCGCCATGGCCAACGGCAGCACGCACTCGCGGTTCGAGACGCCTTGACCACGCTATATGAGCTTCGAGCCACCTTCTCCAAACCGCAGGAACTCTAAATGTGCGATTGACGGGTTCTGTTACCTCTATCAACGAGTCAGAGCTAAGACCCTACGGACCTACAATCGGTCGACGCTACTGTCCGTTATCCTACTTCGTAGCACCGCTGCGCAGCTGTGTCTGGTCGACGACTTCGACAAGCCATGGTGACGGAGTAAGGAGCTCACGACCAGCGAAGCAATGCTAACAGAAAATCTGGAAAATCCTGATCCATGGCGGATTGCGGCTTGCGTGGACGCACAGGATGGACGGGTCATACTACAAACGGCGAAAAGCTTTGCGACTAGGCCGAGGGCCCTATGACATCCTCATTTCCTATCCACAAGGAAGTTGCAGGCGGTGGTGGTTGTCAGACGTAATGTGGCCGTCCGCGCAGCAAGCTGCAATCAGTCAAGGCCAAGCCGTGTGAGTATGGAGAGTGTGACCAGGGTGCCACCACAATTGTCATCTCGTCGTTTTGTGTGGAAGGACTCGGACGAGAGAGACTAGGGGACGCAGGCAGGCCTGGGTGGTGTCTCGCAAATAGTTGTCATAAGCACTAAGATGTTCAAGGGTAGGAGTGGTGGGAGAGGGATGGAGCGGATGGTGCATGTGGTACGATGCTCAGGCAGGTGGGTCTTCAGCGTCTTCGTTTTCAGAAGGTAATATGCGGTTCAAAGCAGTGCTATCCGAAACCTGCTCTTTACCGTCTGGCAACGTACTGAACCGTACTGCGAGATTACCGGACGAATATGCGGACACTGTCTAAAAATTCTTCTGCTCACACATGCGTGAAGTTCCCGGCGAAACCTGGGTGCGTCGCACAGCGTCGCAGCCCCGCAAGCGACGAATAACAGAGCTTAATAGGCTGCGACGAAAAGATGTGATTCAACGTCGAAGATGACGACGATTACGACGATGACGAAAGTGAAACGGCCACTTAGAAATGCCCATGCGATTGGAGTATGCTCTGCACAACCGAAATGTGAGAGTCTGAGCTCATACTGACCTGGCTGGAGCGGACCGCATGTTTTGTGCGACAGTAACATGGAGTTCGTTAGTTCGCAAATGGTTGTCCTTTAGCGAAGATGGGGGGTTTGCGGTACACGACACTCGCACAGGTCCGTTCGTATCTCACCAACTTGAGTTTGTTGCACCTCGTTACAAGGACCAACCGATTGAACGAGCACCAAGCACCCTTCTCAGCACTTCCAGAATGCTCGCCGTAACTCAAGGCCGCTTCCCCCCATTTGCGTCTCGGAAAGTGGTCCTCGTAACGGCGCGCTGTCCCTATGTCGCGGCTGGTTTGTGATTCTCCCACACATTGAACAATTTGATGAGTTTGGCTACACCTTCTCCAACTGTATACTTTTGCGTACAATTGTCCTCATCAGCGCATCCAACCAGAACTTGCTCAATTGTGATTCTACAGAGCAGTGTCTATCGACGCCATCCACCAGAGTCCACAGCTCATCCCACGTCAGAGTGCCTTGAGTCCACGCATGAAGTCTGCTGCAAGAACGCACGCGAATTTCAAGGGGTCCAATTCAAGCTGCATGGAACTCAGCTCACGTGCCACATTCTTCTTCGGCGCGCCACATTCTCGAGAGAAGAGACGTACTCGCGAACTTCTCGGCAGGTGAAGCGGTAGCTTTGGCATTCGGGGACGACACAATTGAACATATCGAATTTACTGGGCAGGAAATTGGAGTTCCGTGCGGAAAAAATGTTCCTAGTCGAGCATTTGTCGCAGTGCGTAGCCATTTCCCAGTCTTGGCGGTGGGTGTGGAGAATGTTATTGTCCGGAATAGTTCAGGCAAAAAAAAAAACTTCATGTGCCCAGAACGACGGACCAGCCTCGGTGAAGCTCAGTTGAACCGAAAAGTTCGTGACAGCAGGCTAGGCACAAGACAGGAGCCTGCTCCACATCTGTGGCTTGGTAGCGCAAGATAAGTCCTAGGGAACTCATCACGATCACAATACACAGGGCGTTCAGTTGTGCTTCAGCTTTTATTAGCCGTTTATTCAGTGTCTATCAGGCCATTCGTGTCGTCAGTTCCTTCCGAGCTCTCTGCTGCCAGATTCGTCCCCCGCAATGGCGACGGAGTCGAAGCAGGCCAAGGAAACCAAGGCCGCCGCGCCAGAGTCTCTGTGGGACACGATCCGCGGCGTCGTTTTCGTCCTCGGGGTTGCCGTGGCGTTCACGCTGTCGTTCACCGTGCTCGCGTCGTACGAGTCGGCCATCGCCAGGGTGTCGTACAAGGGCCACCACGCCGCTGTTCCCGCCGCAGCAACCGCTCCGCTTCGAGAGCCGGAGGTGGAGGAAACGCGACCGTTGATGATGGCTGCTTAGCAGAGTCGTCCGTCTCGAAGGGTTTGCGGATTTGCGGCCTTCTCTAGTCCTCGCCACGCCTGCTGATCTTTAAGGGGTTTACTCATTTTCTGCCGAGTATTCATTGTAAATACCATACGACTGGCGGAAGGGTATCCCAGAGGGGTGGCATGATATAAACGATTCGTTCGGACAGCCCTTCTATTGGGGTGCTAGTTCTGGCCAATTCCAGCAAGTCGTTTCTGAATAAAGCTTTGATGATCTACGATGGAATATTTCAATGTGAGCTGCTCTATGGAACAGGGGAAGCATAGATAGATGCCCTTACAATAAAGAATGTGCAAAACAAAATAATTACCATACCTCTGGAACTTGGCTGCGTTCTGTTCTGTCACAGCTGCTTGCCAAAGAACCAAGCAGCCACCACGTCCCTGAGCCTGACACCACTGGCATCAGGTACAGACCATTTGTCATAAGCCATGGTACAATGGCTTGTTTTGTTAGGAACTACTGCTGTTGACTGCACCCCTGCTGCTTGCCGGTTTTGCACCAATGCTTGCAGTGAGTTTCTGAGCACTATGGCATGGTGCCCTACATACTTGCGGATTCTCCTGGGGCAGGAGAGAAAGCGTTCGGAGCGGTAGCACGGAACAACGCTCTCATACGAGCCAGTCATGGCCTCAACGTTGCCTCTGGTGAGCCCGATGGCCAGCGCTGCAAGGTCAAACGCTGAGTTGAGGACGAGGAAAGGCGTTTGTGTGTGCTGGAGGGCGTTGGCTGGGAATATGCAGCGCCACTTCTCGGTGCGGGGATAGGCTGGTCAAGGGGAACAAGTTGGCGGAAGGGAGCGGCGTGAGGATGGGAAAAGGTGAGCCAATAAGGATGGAAGTTGTGCTGGATGGTGGAGAATATGATGGAAAGGAGGAGGGGGGAAAGGTGACGCTAGTTGTGTGTGGACACATTACACATTTGCAGGTGCTAGGATGATTCCTCACAAGCGGTTCAGTCACGGTCTCACCTTTCACGCATTGCGGGTCGAAGGACGCGTCGCTCCATTGGCTGACCATCATGCGCTGCATCATGCCACGGAAGGAAAAGTGGCCCACCAAGTCTGGCTCGTCTGGAAGGGCAGGTGGCAGAAAAAGGGAGGGGAGAGGTTAAGTAGTGTGTTAAGGACGCGTTGTTTCACTGGGAGATCAACATGCGCTGCATCATGCCACAAAAGGAAAAGTGTCCCACCAAGTCTAGCTCGTCTGGAAGGGCAGGTGGCAGGGAGGGGGGGATGAAGGTATGGTTTAAAGGAGGCGGGGGATAGGATGGGGGAGATGGGGGACGAGGGAGCAACGGATGGAGGATGGTCGACAACGAAACGAACGGGTGAAGGGGAATTCTCAATATGTTGATCCATGCTGCTGCTGTTGAACATGCTGCTGAAGGGTGAACGCAGCAGCATGGATCAACTTGCTCCTCATAAGATTTTCAAACTCAACCAAAAAGTATTCAAACCATATTTACATACTTCTGGAATGTCTCACCTAAGAAGTATCCGGCATCAATGGCGCACTTGACAGTGGTGGTAGAAGGGAGGCGAGAGGCCATCCAGTCACAGCTCACCGCCACCCCCTGCCCCCCTGCTGAGCAACCCGTTATAAGCACTGCTGATGCTGTTGACAACCCACGAATCTTGAGCATATCTGCAAGGAGGAAAATACAGAGAGCATGGGTTGTCCAGTAAGAACTATGCTCCTAGACGTGGGATGAATCATCTTGAGCCTTTACAAGAATTTCCCAGTTCGTCCCACGGGCCACTGAGCACATGGTATGCTTGATATTCTCCAACGTCCCGTGGAAGAATCACCTTATGCTACTACTATCTTGGAGCTACTGCTTTCGTTTGCTGCTCATTCCCCACTGAGACCCTCCAGTGGCGATTCTCCGACGCCTTTCAGCCCCCACGCACCTTCCAGCAGCAGCATGACGACTCGCCGACCCGAGTAGAACACACGAGACGAGCCCACTGCCACGCGGCCCTTGTACCCCATATACGCCCCTCCGTCACAATACATAAGCACCGCCAGGTTCCAGTTGCCAAAAACGGGGTTGGTTATGGTGTCTGCGCTCAGAATGCCTGTGAACTGCGTGTGGTAGTCGTTCATCTGTGGGAGAGATGCAGGGGGATGGGGAAGAAGGGGGTGTACGGGGGACAAGGAGGGATAGTTTGGGGAAGAAGGCAGTTTTTGAGGGCATCATGAATTATTTGCACTCAGAATGCCCGTGACATGAGAGGGGGGGGAAGAGGGGGTAAGGGAGGAGAGGGGCTATGCGCAAAATGCAAGGAGCACTGCATAAGGACGGAATATTGACCTGCCTTCTCCATCCTTCTCCACCCCGTGCACAAGGCAGAGCTACACCAGCCTGCAAGTGAATATCCCTGTGCCTTTATGTGCCTCTCTGCACATTGCACCTCTTTGCACCATACTAAAATCGTCACCCCATGCGCCACAGCATTCCCAGCCTTGCACTTAACTCCACAAGTTTTTTCACCCCCCATACCTTCTGATGGACCTCTCACAACACAAGGAACATACGAGCACTGTGGGTGTTGTCCTGAATGCTCTTCCCTTATCACCACACCGCCCTCTGAAGGAATGCCAGTCTCACCATTGCGAATTCTACTTTACACACCCCATCCTCGTTACTAGACTTCCTACAGGCCCGCACAGAAATACCCTACCAGCTTCGTGAAGTTGCCATCCGTGGGTTTCGGCCAGAAGCGAGAGGAGCCGCGGAAGGTCTTGGCGCGCTGCTGGCAGTCCGCTGCAGTCGTGCACCACCCGCCGCCCTGGAAGCAACGCATGGAAAGCGGCGCGGGAAGGAGCAACGCAAGGAACAGGGCGTGGAAGAGGAATGGGGGTTGGAAGGGCGAAGGAGACTGGGTACAGGGAGGAACTTTGGATGCTGCCAGTTGGGCAATTAAGAACATGGCGCGGATAGAGCACGGTGACATGCGCGTGGATGAGTGACGTGGCAGGCATGCCTTACGTGGAAGTAGATTAGCCACTTGTTGGTGCCAGTGCCCGTCCCCTTGCGGAAATAGTAACCAGCAGGGCTGCAACGACGAGAAGGGAGGATGGAGCATGACAGGGACACAATGATGGAAGTGAGCGTGGAGAGTGGCGGGTTGGAGGGTGAGAGGGGAGGACAGAAAGGTGGTAGGAGGTGAGAAGGTGGTAGGAGGTGAGAAGGTGGTAGGAGGTGAGAAGGTGGTAGGAGGTGAGAAGGTGGTAGGAGGTGAGGGGTCAGACAGTGCAAGTGAGAAACCGGACTTTGCCGAGAATGGCGCAGCGGCATTGACGAAGTTGAAAAACGATGGGAAAAAATCGCTCATAACGTGCTGCGAGTGAATCCAGCGTCGCTCAGAATTTTCTTAGCGATAGCATGGTAGGACTTCCGTTGGGCGGCGCACCTGCCGTCGAGGCACACGGCTCTGGCAGATGGCACCGTCACCAGCTGCATCCTCGACGCACCCCATGCCGCCGGTGCTGCTCGTGGGGGCAATGATGGCGACGATGGAGATGATGGTGCTGATGGTGTTGGTGATTTTGATTGTGACGGCGTTTTCCGGGAGGAATTGGAGGAGGGAGGGAACAAGGATGACACGGCTTTGGTTGGCGGAGGCGATTTCTTGGCCGTTGATGGCGATGGTGCTGATGGTGAAGATCGCGATTTGTTACCGGATGGGGGAGAAGATGACGTGGACGACGCTGGGGAAAAAATCATTGCTGATGCGCGTCTCTTAGTCCTTCCACCACTGCTCCGCCTTTTGATACTGTTTTCTGTTTGCGGCTTCTTCTCTTTATCGATTCGCTTGCCCATCCTCCCACCCTGTGCTCCATTTGAGGCCTCAGACCGTCGAGTGTGTACTCTGCTATCCCGCTTCCGGCTGCTCATCGGAGCGGTCGACTTTGCTAATTTTCCTGGTTTTCTTGAGTGGTCTCTAGATACATTCACATTGTTCAGCAAGCTCCGACCAACCAGCACGGAGCGCTCGTCCCTCGTTTCCTGCAATGGCGCAGCTGTATCGCTCCATTCCCTTGCGATAATCGTGAATCTCCCTCCTTCGGAGAGAGAATTTGGAATTTCCTCGGGTCCTGACCACGTATCGGGCAGCTGCTTCAATCTTAGCTGCGGATAACCTCTTTTTGAAGCGTCGCTGACCGTCAGGTTCTCTGCAGCTATTGATGACCAGCAGCCAGTCGCCACTAGAATGAAGAAAGCGATGGCGGTACAATCTAATGTGAAGGTAAGGGGAGACACGCGTGCCATACCGCTCTGTATCGACGATGGATTAACAGGTAATTTTGCAAACTATATGGCGGCCATATCTGCAGAAAAGGTTGCAGATAGTAACTTATTTCAGGGCGAGCATCAGCAACAGAAAAAAGCTCCGTCTATGTCACAGACGCCATTTTCAGGAAATCTCCCCACCGCTGCCTAAACATTCCCAAGGAATCTCAGCGACATAAGAGCGGAAACCTTCACACGATTACACCGCGGCTGTTGCAAGCCAACCACGCAACGTGATGGTCGCGACGAAGCGTTGCGATGCATTGAAAATCTTCACTTACTCCATGGCTTTCTATCAGCAACCTTGTTTTCCTAGTGGGCCTCAGCAGCAGCGGCGCCAGCACCAGCAACAGGCTTCGCATCTGTTCTCGTCTCGTCTCGCCGAAAAGGAACATTTTGGCGTGGTCCCCAAAGGTAAGGCCGTGAATCGAAGCGCCACTTCCTTCCAACGGTTACGCGGGGGACAGGAAAGGCGACTCCGTTGTGGAAGACTGAGGTGCTTTGATGTCAGAGCTCGTCATTGGACAAGGCATTTGACACGTACATGACTTATTAAAACTAATCGAATGTAAATTTATGTTAAAGATCATTTACAAACCAGAAGCAACAGCACGCTCAGGCTCAAAAAGGTGTGTGAGGCGAGGGTCGTCACGGCGGGGCAGGCCTTGACGCGCTCCAAGGGCTTGGCACTTCGCTGCAGCCTGGGGGGCACAAGTACCGTACATCCATGAAAAAAGAATGGAAGACGGAACGGACCATCGTGCTGGCATGGCAGTACATAGCTAAATGAATGTGACTGGGGAGAAGGACGCATGGAACAGAAATTGGGACAGAGGAAGCCTAACGAGAACATGCATACTTACAATAGTAGCTCCTAGTATGAGCATGCGATCAACAGTGAAACCAGCTGAAATGGCTGCACGTAGGGCAATGTGGGGAGAGAAAAACGTAAAATAGTTTTCATGTAGCACTGGCATACCGAAGGACCAAGAGGGAGAGATGATGCATTTCATCCACAGCACAGACATACCTCAATAATCGAAGGACATGCCGTAAATCGATGCTCATAAGCAAGCAATTTACACTTTCCTTTCATGTATGTTTTTACATGAACAACAGAACTCACCGTAAAGAACAGCACCAATGAAGGCATCGCCAGCGCCGGTGGTATCCACCACCTGCCCTGCCTCCAGCGGCACAGCTGTCGCTGCCACCAGCTGGGCGGCAACTTCTGTCCCTTGTGCCATTGACTTGAGACGCAGGGGCTGTGTGACAAGGAAACACCAGGACGGATGGCAAAGAGAAAGTCTCAGCCACCAAAAAGAATGTCTCGGCCAAACAAACAGGAATATCGCAGACAGGGTAAGACATTCAGGAGCCGTAGGCATGGAGAGCAAAGGAGAAGCATGGGTGGCAAGGGTAGCAGTGCAGTGACGGGAGAATGAGTACCCGAGAGGAGAAGACCGCAGGGTTGCCTTGCTTGCTGCCCTTCTCCTGTGCGGCTCTTATCACCCATTGCAGTGCCTTGTCCACATCCTCACTGGGTGCCTCTGAGGCTGCAGAGGAGAGGCATGAGGTGGGGGGAGGGGGGGGGAATATCATGAAGAGCAGTGACGCATGATGAGGAGGGGGCGAAACAGGGAAATAGGATAAGTGAAGACAAACATGAGGAGGGGGGGCAACACCGTGCAGAGCACAGGGCTCTGGGAGAAGCCATTAGAACGTTCTGTTGCAAAGAGTCGCTGCCCACTTATACCCATACGAATCAGAACTGAAACACTCTCCACCACTGAATCCCGCTCTGCACCGCACAGCACACAGCACTTACTGCAGCAAGTCCTCACCTGCAGCCACCCGTCGGTCCAGCATGGCACATCCGTCTGCCCCCAGTGTGACTATAATGAACTGTGCCCTTGGCAGGCGCACTGCCATGGCCAGCAGGGCTGCTCCCAGGGTGTCCTCCCCCGTCCATGCCTGCACGCCGCCATGCCATGCCATTCCACACACAGCAAGAGATCTGTGGAAGCATACTGCTACTTTTGAGTCGACTCAAAAGCAGATCTGTGGAAGCATACAGATATGCGTACGTGGTGCCAGAAGGTGGTGCATTCAGCAGTGGCTGCATGCATCCCTGGGGCTCGCTGCACTGCTGCAGCAGCAGAATGCTGTGAAGGGAAGAGAGCTAAGATACGTTAAACAGGGAGGGACTCACTGCTCACCACCCATACTGACCTGAGGAAACTTCTCGGAAACGACGACATATGTGGCATGGGCCAGCAGGTCGTCCAGCCCCTCTCGGGGCTTCTCAGCGTCCACCAGCACTGGCAGACCGAGGGCCACCGCCTGGTGATGAAAGGTGAGGGGGGAAGGAAGGGCGTGAAGAATGGAGGATGAAGCTCTAAGGTGCCTTCAAAAGATGCCCCTCTTGGGGCTTCTCAACGTCCACCAGCACCGGCAGACCCAGGGCCACCGCCTGGTGATGAAGGGGCGGGGAAAGGGGATTAGGGGAGAGTGTATGTCTGCAGCGCATGAAGTATCGACCCCTCTCGGGGCTTCTCAGCGTCCACCAGCACCGGCAGACCCAGGGCCACCGCCTGGCGACGGGGAGAGAGAACGAGAAAGACAACCAGGAGGTACGAGGGGGAGTGGAGGCGGGGGGGTGGATCTCTGAGGATTGTCCCCTCTCGGGGCTTCTCAGCGTCACCAGCACCGGCAGACCCAGGGCCACCGCCTGGTGACAGGGAGAAGGGGGGAGGGGGGAAGAGGAGAAGTGTATATCTGAAGTGCCTACAAGTCTGAACCCTCTTTGGAGCCTTTCAGTAAGCACCAACACTCGCAGACTCAGGGCCACAGGTGGGTGGGGGGTCATGGTGAAGTGTGAGCAATAAAGAAGGAGCTGCAGATGAAGGTTGCACTGATGTGATGTGATTGTGCAATTCCAAGGTGAATGCAGAATTCCACAGCAAGTGCATAGATCCACTGTGAATGCACCTGCTGGCATATGCGGATGGTGGTGTCGGCGAGGCGGCCATCAAAGTAGGCGAGAGAGGCCCCTGAGAGCAGAGACGTTAAGGCAGCAGCTGACAGCTCCGAGGGGAGCAGAGGTGGGGAGCCGGGCGTGTGGATGCACGTGCGCGTGTTGCTGGTGGGGGGAAGGGAGGAGAACAAGGTGCGCAGGGCATGGAAAGCCATGAAACGATATAATATGAGATAAACGAATCAGGAGACAAGCAGCGAGAGATTGAGATGAAGGTAGAGAGGGTGAAAGCAAGGTGTAGAAAGGGAGAGATGATGGACGCAAGGAAGAGTGCAGGCAGGCACTGACGTCTGTTGGTCCACAATGATGTATGTGGATGGAGACATGCCCCCCTTGCCAACCTGCCCAACACACGCCAGCAAGACAGGAATACACATGAAGATACCAGTACATAATAATGCATGGGCTTTTAGGTAGTGTGTTGTGAACTGCAGTCTCTTGCAATGATGTGTAAAACTCCCTTCCACTGGTGTGGCATGGAATGGAGTAACAATGACCTGGAACTTGCTCCCACTGACGTGGCACTGACAACGATGTGGAGTTCACACCTACTGACGTGGCATGGACTCACAATGATGTGTGACGTGTCCACGCCATCCGCCTGCAATTCTGCAATCATTGCCTTGCCCACCAGGTCGTCCGCCAGCTGTCGCTCACACACAGGCCAGACGGGTTCGGATGCGGTGTGTGGGGGGATGGGAGGGGGGGAGGACGAGGAGTTGAGGTAAACAGGAAAAAGAAACCCCCAGGAGAGGTGGTAGGGGGAGGGGAAGTGGCTGGACCAGGGAAGACAGGAACGCTGGCGGTGAAACTTGTGTGCTTATGGGATGATTAATCCAACGTGCCTTGGTGAAAATGCGTGTGGAGAGCCCAAGGCGAGAGATGGCTGTGAGTGTGTTGCCCACATTGCCTCCGCCTTGCACCTGCAATGCACACACACGAGCAGAGCAACGGTGCCCACACCACCTTGAGAAACCAAGTAGCATGAGAGCTGCAACGGCCACGGGGGTCGTGCAAGAAAACAAGGATGGGAAGAAGAGGAGCCTCAACGTACCTCGAAAGAGGTGCTTCGGATCTTGTCGTCTGGGTGGGGGAATGCGGTGACGGTGGCGAGATAGTCGATGCACAGCCCTCCACACCCCACCTGCCATGGACGCACCATCATGGAAAGGTTGTGTAAAAATGCCATGTATGGTGCTACGATAATAGACCAAAACAATTAATGACGATCAATGCTGTCTGTACTTGTGAATGATGGTCCACATTGATCCATGATGGTCAGTGCTAGTCCATGGTAGCCGTGCAATGATGAAAGCTTATGATGATCCATGATTACCCACTATGATCCATGAGAATACATGATGCGATTCATATGATGATCCGAGACGATGGATAAAATCATCCATGACAATCCATGGTGACAACTATCCAAAGTGCTCTGAAGGTAACTCCTAATTTCCTACCACACAGACGCGGCTAAGGTCGGAAGCAGAAGATTCGTCGCGTTCTTCCGATTGGTTGTTGCCAGGCGAGGTGCCTGCCATGGCTCTGGTAGCTCGTCTGCTGCCACGTGGCGATGATGCTGTCGGCACTCCTGACAGTGACGGGGATACACGCAGGGACCGGGAAGGACGCCTGAAAGGCGCAGGTTGCGCGAGCTAAATGGTTTGCCTGGGAGAACTTGCCGTTTCGAGCCGATGGAAGGCGCATGGTGCAAGAATTAAACAACTGTGTAAGGAGCGAGGTATCGCCATGTACTCGCAATCCTAACCTCGAGAAGAGCACGCGAGCTCGTGCCTCGTTGATTGTCAGCTTCGCAACGGCTGGTAACGCGTTCGCCGTGACATTTCGCAGCTGCTGCACGGAGGATTTGGGAAAGGCCTGGGAGGTGGGGGTTAGGTTCAGGCCGGTGACGCAAGGGACCGCGCACCCGGCAATTGCGGCCATGGTGGACAGTCTACTTCACAGCTGAGACATGAGCAGAGTAAAAAGCTCACACAACTGTGCCGTACCTGCGGGATGCTGTATTGATCCTACTGAATTGATGAATGCTGTGGACAAGAACTGCAATGGTTGCTACAGTTGGAGTATTTTATCAAATGCAGAAAAGGAAGGAAGAGCGGAAGAAAGAAAAAAACTGTTGTTTGGGGCTTACAGAGTTTCTTTGCATAGAAACCAGGTCAGCTTGATCTGGCAGTGCACTCAACAATGCAGAACATATACAGCAGCATATATACTCCAAAGCTAGAAGGAAATCCACAGCAAGCGCATGGAACAAGACAATGTTCGCTGTCAATGCTTGTTACTTCTGTTCTGCATGGGGTTCGGCGACTGCTGTATAGACTGCATGAACAAGCCAGGCTTGGCATCTCGAATAAACGGCGGGACCCCTTGAGGTGTACCAGCATTTGCCATGTGCTCGGGTCGTAACCCTGGGGGTAACTGTGGTGTAGGCCCTCCTTGATTAGGGGGAGCGAATGGAAACGGGGCAAAGAATGGAGGAGGATGGGTGGGCGGGTGCTGTGTCAGCTGGGCGTGGGGGTGATGCTGCTGCTGCTGGTGATGCTGCTGGTGCGGCTGTTGCTGCTGGTGCGGGTGTTGTGGGTGCTGCTGTTGCTGCTGGAGACGTTGCTGTTGCTGGAGCTGCTGCCGCTGCTGCTGCTGCTGCTGCTGCTGCTGGTGCTGCAACTGCTGGTTTGGCTGGAGCTGCTGTTGTTGATGCTGCAGCGGTTGCTGCGGCTGCTGCTGGTGCAGTTGCCGCAGCTGCGTCTGCTGCTGATGCTGGGGCAGTGGCTGCTGCTGCTGCTGGCGATGCACGTGGGTCATCCAGGCAGGAAGAGACGACGGGGTGGCCGCATTAGGAGCTACACCACCATCAGCTGCAACAGCAGCTGTAGCAGCAGCAGCAGTTGTGCCTTGTGCAGCAGAACGAGTACCACCAGTAGCTGCCAAAGCAGCATTACCAGCAAACGCAGCACCAATAACGCTACCAGCAAAACCAGCACCATTAGCAGTACCACCACCGCTAACAGGAAACATAGGAGACATGTGGGTGCCCTTCTGGCTCTGCTGCTGCTGCTGCTGCTGCTGCTGCTGCTGCTGCTGATGATGATGATGATGATGATGATGATGATGATGATTCTGACTTGAGACTGACTGCTGGCCTGTTTGGGGAATTTGGAACGTTGCCCCAAAGCGGAATGGGCTACTCATCTCCTCAGCCCCAGCAGGGCCACCCTTGCTCCCACCTCCTAAGAACGGTGGTGCTACTAACGATCCATGCTGATTATGGCTGCTAGATTGTGCTGCCACTGCAGCTGCTGTTGACAGTGCTGCTGCTGACGCTGCCACTGCTCCTGCCCCTCCCCTCCCGCTCACCCTCTCACCCACTCTCCCACCCTTTCCTCCCCTTCTGCCCCCGGTCCCTGCTCGTCCTCTTGCTGCCTGCGTCCCTACCTCCTGGTTTGAGCCTCCACCAACAACCACTCCACTACTCCCCCCACCACCGAACCCACCACCAAACCCGCCACCACTACTCCCACTGTCGTGCCCACTTGCTGCTGTTCCTGTGCCGCCTCCTGCTCCTCCTCCCATTCCTCCTGCTCCTCCTCCCATCTCTCCCATGCCTCCAAACCCTCCTGTGCGACCAACAGCAGCAGCAGAGGCAGCAGCAGCAGCCGGGGCAGCAGGTCGGAGGCTGGAATCAGAGGAGGAGCGAGGAAAGGGTTCTGCCAGTTCTCTCGGCAGCTGTAGCAGCGAGAACCCTCCCTTCCCCCCTGAACCAGCCGCCGCGGCTGTAGCGCCACCAGCACCACCGGCTGTAGCAGCAGCAGCAGTACCACCACCACCACCAAGGGTTGCGGCAGAAGGGGCAGCAGCAGTAGGAGAGGCGTGGAGAAGAGAAGGATTGGGAGCGGAGGAGGGAGGCAGGGGCACAGCGAGAGCAGAGGCAGGGAATCTTAGACCGGGGCCCACAGCGGGGTGATTGGATGGAGGGCGGGTGGCAGAGAACTGGTGGTGAAAGTTGGGGGGGAGAGTGAAGGAGAGGAGAGGCGTTGCATTGGGCTTCTGAGCGGAGAAGTTTTCAGGTGCAGCTGAACTGTTGCCTGCAGCATTAGCAGCAGCAGCAGAACCGGCACCAGCACTGGCAAGAGAACCACCACCAGCACCTCCCACTCCCATCCCCACCAACCCTGCCCCCAAACCAGCACCTGTGGCTGGTGCCGAAGCTGCCATGGAGGCTAGGGAAGGCATGTGCAGGGCCATTGGTGATGGCGAGGAGGAAGAGGATGCGGTGGAGAACGGTGCAGATAGGTTGGGGGTGGAGGAAGAGAGAGGGGGAGTTGATACGGGTAGAACCAGGGGAGGCCGCTTGAAGGGGGAGGAGCCTGGGGGAAGGGGGGGAGCGGAGCGGGAAGAGGGAGAGGAGAGGAAGGATGAGGGAGGGAGAGCGGGAGGAGGGTGTGGGGAGGACGCGAGGGAGGATGGGAATGGGAGAAAGAGGGGCGGACGAGGGGAAGTTGAGGAAGGGGGGAAGGGGAGGGAGAGGGGAGGACGAGGGGAGGTGGAGGAGAGTGGGGGGCGTGTGGGAGGAGAAGGGAAGGTGGGGAGAGAGAGTGGTGTGCTCTGTTTGCCCTGCTGCTGCTGCTGCTGATATTGTTGTTGCTGCTGTTGCTGCTGAAAACGATGTTGCTGCTGTGGCTGAAACTGATGCTGCTGCTGTTGCTGTTGCTGTTGCTGCTGCTGTTGCTGTTGCTGTTGCTGTTGCTGTTGCTGTGGCTGAAATTGTTGTTGCTGCTGGTGCTGCTGGTGCTGCTGCTGTTGCTGCTGCTGTTGCTGAAACGAGTGCTGCATCTGCTGATACTGTTGTGAGTGCTGCTGCGACCGCTGCTGTTGCATACCCAGCTGCTGCTGCTGCCAGGCCTCCGCCCTGCCCTCAGGAATCAACTGTGGAGCGCCAAAAGAGGGGAACGCAGAGCCTTGCTCTGGCGATTTGGCGCACGAGGGGAAGGAGCTCTGGCTGTCCGTCCTGCCGAGACCAGAAGCAGTCCCCACAGACGCCGCGGGGGTGGCTGAACGAGAACCGGTAGCAGCAGCAGCAGCAGCAGCAGCAGCACCAGGAAAAGGTGTAGCGGTGGCAGTTGCAGCAGGAGCAGCGGGATGGGCAAAGGGGGAGGGGAAAGGGACCCTGTGCCCCAGTGGTGCCTGTGCTCCTGCCCTCCCTGCTGCCCCTCCCCCTTCTCCTCCTCCTCCTGCTCCTCCTCCTGCTCCTCCTCCTGCTCCTCCTCCTGCTCCTCCTCCTGCTCCTCCTCCTGCTCCTCCTCCTCCTGCTGCTGCTGCTGCTGCTGCTGCTGCTGCTGCATCAGACCCACCTGATCCCGCTGCAACCAATGCGGCCCTAGCTGCCGCCGCCGCCACCGTCCCTGCTGTTGCTGCTGTGTTTGCCACTGCTGCTCCTCCTCCCCCTTTCCCATCCCTCCCGCCAACACTACCCCCTCCTCCTTCCCCTCCTCCCGCTCCCTTGCCTCCACCTCCTCCTCCCCCTCCCCCTCCCCCTCCCGCGCCTCCCCCCTTCCCCCCACCTCCTGCCCCTCCCCCTCCCCCTGCGCCATGGCCAGAGAGGGGCATGCTAGCGACCCTGCACGCAGGGATGGTGGGCTCGTATCCCGGAGGCAGCAGATCGTCAATGTTCTCCAGCAGCTCCTTGTACACCTTCCTTAGCGTCACCTGGTGGGGACAAAGGGATAAGCACACACGGTCTCAGACACAAACACACACACTGACTGCTCGTAGCCCCCAGGGAGCAGGTCGTCAATGTTCTCCAGCAGCTCCTTGTACACCTTCCTTAGCGTCACCTGGGGTCACATGATAGCAAACACACACGAGCAGAGCAGACACAACGTAAGCACACAGACACACATCTTGGGGGAAGCAGGTCGTGTATGTTCTCCAGCAGCTCCTTGTACACCTTCCTTAGCGTCACCTGCACACACAGACACACGCGCATACATGTGTACACAAGCCCATACATATGGGTACACATAGACCCATGTATAATCACACACATGCACCAACAGGCAGGCCACCTCTCTGAACCGCACTCCACCCATACACACCATGCAGGACTCTGATTCCACCGTACTGCACCGCGCTGCACGTACCTCTGTGAAGCCGGTGGCCTTGCAGATTTCGGTCTGTGTGCGCCTCTTGTCCTCCAGCTGGCAGGCGAGGTAGATGGCCGCAGTGCTGATACCAAACCCATATCTGAACCTCTTTCAACCGCACTGCACCCCAATTTCTACCACATATTACCGCACTGCACTGCACTGTACTCACCTCTGTGAGGCCGGTAGCCTTGCAGATCTCGGTCTGTGTGCGCCTCTTGTCCTCCAGCTGGCACGCGAGGTAGATGGCGGCAGCGCTAATGCTGATGGGGTTGCGGCGCGTGCAGAATGACTTGGATATCACCACCTCTCCCACGTGCGTTGCTAGGTCCTGGTGGGAGGGGGGGTGGGAGGGGGAGGCGGGAGAGAATTAGGGAAGAAAGAGGAGACAGGAGGGAGATCGAAGCATGTGGAAGGAGACAGAGTTGGAGTTCGGAGGCTCCATGATCCATCAACCCCTTCAAACTCCTCTCTAACTCCTTCATTGCTTCGTGCAAAACAAGAAGCTCACTAACAGGCAGATCGGCCCACTGGCTTAATAGTTGACCACCGAGTGCATAAGTGAGAGCGAGTGTGACTGAGTGAGTGAGTGAGTGAGTAATTAAGAGTGAGTGAGTGAGTAATTAACTGAGCGAGCGAGTGAGTGAGTGAGTGAGTGAGTGAGTGAGTGACAGAGAGCCCAACCCACCTGGGTGGACTTGCGGAGCTGCAGGATGGATCCAAAGCGGGGCATGTGGAAGGACACAGAGTTGGAGTTGACAGGCTGCTGCAGCCGCAGCACCTCCATCAACCCCTTCAAACTCCTCCCCAACTCCTTCACCGCAATCCCCGCCACCAGGGAGACTTCCTGGAGGGTGCGGGCCTCCTGAGCCTCGCGCATGGCCTGCACCACGGCTGCAGTGGCTAGGGCTTCGATGTTGCGGTTCCGCGCCCCGCCGGCCGACACCACGTAGTCTCGGAACAGGGTAACCGCGTGGTCCGTGATGCTCTGGTCTATGTCCAGCAGGCCACTCACCTCCAGGATCTGAGGGGGGAGGTGGGGAGAGGAGTGGGAAAGGGAGTAGTGAGTCGATTCTGTCCGTGATTCTCTTCTTGTCCAACGAGCCGCTCACCTCTAAGGTCACAAGGGGGTGGGGGGAAGAAGGGTGGGGACGAGACGGGGAATGGAAATTACTGGGAGGAAGATGATGCTGCTGATGCCTGAATTCTGAAGAATAACCTTACCTGGAGGGTCTCACCTGGAAGTAGGCGCGCAGGAAATCAGTCGTCCCCACGGCACTCCCCCCTGCGCCCCCAGAGCACCCGGTGTACAGCACGGGGCCAATCAGCCGCTCCATCTCTGCTAGCTGGCCCGAGAAGGGCAGCGAGGCGGCACAGAAGAGTGGCGGGGCGGACTCGAGGGAGAGCGATGAGAAGACGTCCAGGAACTGGTCCGAGGGGTCCAGGAAGCGGGGCGATGGGTCGTCGTCCGTGAGGGAGTTGGGGCTCGTTTGCTCCTCTAATGCTTCTCCTTCCTCCATGTCCTCCTCCTCCCCGTCCTCTGCTTCTTCCTCCTCTTCTTCTTCGTCCTCCTCCTCTTCGTATTCCTCTTCCTCTTCTTCCTCCTCTTCTTCCTCTTCAAGTTCTTCCTCCTCTTCTTTCTCTTTCCCCTCTTGTCCTTCCGAAACTCGACCTTCATCCATTGCTTCATCTCCTCCACCGTCCATCCTCGCTCCCGCCGCTTCATCTCCACCGTCCATCGCATCCATGTTCAGATCAAAGTTCAGATCAAACCCTACCAGGGACTTACTCTCCTCTTCCTTCCCCACCAGCTCTCCTGCCACCTTCTCCTTCCCATCCCCTCCCAGTCTTTCTTCTTTCTTCCCCACCTCCCTCCTCCCCTTCTCCACCAAACCCTCCTCAGTCTCCACCTTCACTTCTGGCTTCCCTGAAATAGCAGTTCCTCGACTGTCATCTGCTGCTGCTGCTACTTCTGCCTTCACCTCATTATCTCTGGCTTTAATTTTTGCATCCTTTAAGGCTTTGAGCTCTTCTATTTTATCCGCTGCTGCTCTCACCTCGTCCGGACGAAGCTTGGCGTGCAACAGCACGTCCCTGGCGGGTAGGCAGAAGGAAGCTTCTTCGACGGTGCGCGGAACGAACAGCAGAGGAATAATCCGCCGCTCCGCGACAATTCGAGCGCAGCTAGCGCACGCCACTAGGACCGTCTCATACGGCGCCTGTGCCGGCGGCTGCTGCGCCGCGTGATGCGCCGCATGATGCGGCGCGTGATGCGGGTGATGGGGAGTACTATGGCTAGCTTGGCCCTGCGACGGGTTCTGCGACAGCTGGTGCGACAGACTCTGCGCCGGGCCGTGCGGAGCGGGGAGGTTCCGCGCACCTTCCCGGCTGCCGCAAAAAGGACACTTGTCTTCCATTAGTCTCCTGGGATGTAGTCTACAGGAGCGACGAGCAGTCTGCTCGACGTCTTAAACTCGCCTGATTGAGAATCACCTGGTTCTCTTTCACCTTTTCGCCTACGGCACGCGGACTTGGCCTTTTCGTTGCTCAATCGTCATTCAAGACAGTACGCTGCTGGCTCGTCGCGTTGCATCCCGGCATCTCGAAGGATGACCTGACTCTACTCCATGACCAAGCCAAATCGCTCGGCCATGATTCAGGGACATCGACGCTGGGAAGACCTAGACATTCCCGAAAGCGACGCCAGGCAAGAAAGGCTGAGGTGAAGCAGAATGTAACTCGAGGACAACCTGAGGCGAAGGGGAAACTCGATTTGCGTGTGCGTGTGCACTTAGGGCGAAATTTTTCAGAGTTCGATCATTAACCGCTTTTCACCGTGGCGAAACGTCTCTTATTAGTATCGTACCGAGTAGAACCTCGCTAAAAGTTCGAACTTAGACAGAAGTTCGAACGCCTAGTGCACACGCCCTTAGGTGGTATTACACTTGACTCAAGAAAAGCGGTAGCTATGCTAAATAGCTTCAGGTAACAGAAAAAAGTTAGCACATTACATGAATCAGTATCATGCTGCTCTTAATGCAGGTGGCGTGAACGAATTCATGCATGCCACAAATTAACGTATGCTCAATTGAGTCTAGAACCAAGGAAGGCACAATCTTTAAAACGGATTGTCGGTTGTGTTGTGTTAGAAAATGCCTTATTAGTATATAGAAAAAGGTCTTCTAGCATACCATCCTGGCATAGCCTGTCAATCCAGTACATTCTCATTGGGTCATTCCAATGTTAAAGTGGTGTTTGTGGACTCCATAAGAATTCCTACTCATAGCAGAAGAAGTGTGGCCATTCCATATCAACTTGGTGTCTGCAACCTGTTTCTTGTTCTTTTGCATTTCGAGGTGCATGTACCATAACGAGTATGGAGATATGTTCCAGCCATACTTCTTTGGGAATCACGTCGGTCGGTGGTTCGGTTAGTTCACTTCGGTTGCCCAATTAGGCTATGAGGCAGACATGTTTTTGGCCAATCACACGAATAGGAAGAGGTGGAAGTGGCTTGAAATGAAACTTCGATCCCAAATCAAAACCTTCTGTACAGCGCATATCTCGACTCTGGCAGATTTCGTCGTCGTACCTCCGGCTTTTGCTAGTACCCACAGGTGTCGATTGCTCACTACGTGTATCATAGTTGCGCAAGATTGTGCGGACGACAATCGTTTCTCCGGCGTCCTACTCATTCTTGCCACGACTACGCAAGTGTGTAAGTAGCATGCGACATCAGCGTCGTTTGTGTTATTCGCAGCTTGATCAAAGCTGCCTATCAGACTGCTTATCACCATCCCAGTCACCAGGAGGAGGACGACGGAGGTATGTACCACAGACAATGCACGGACATTGGTGTCCACTGGACTGGGCACTATAGTAGCCGTGTTTACTGTATTAGCAGCGCGCCGCGCGCTCGAACAGTAAGCACGTGCGAAAAACTTATTGGAAAGCGCTACTGTACGTCCTCTTGTTTGCTACGATCAATGACAGAGACAGACTTGTGACCCAAAGTTTATGCGAAGTACAGAAGTGTATCTAAACCTTTTTTTTTTTAAGCTACCAAAGAGGTTTGTATTCTTCTATGGGTGAGTCGAGTTCCTCAATTTGATTCCCCGTCCTCCCTTCCATCTCCATTCCCCCTTCCTCCTCTCCCCCACTATCCTTCGAGGATGGGGGGGCTGCTCATCTTTCCTGAGGGAGTCACGTCACGACGACAAGACTACGCAACATACCTAGTGAAACACGCTGTCGTCGAATGGCATCCGACAACTCTTGCAAGTCGTGACTTGCATGTCCGGCTGGCCCACGCCACTCGTCCATGGCCACTCCGCTTGCCGCTCCTCGGGATTATCCAGCACGCGCACGCGCCGGTGACAGAGCACTGCTGACAGATGAACTGCGGGATTCTCCTTCGCGGTGCAGGCAGCCAATGCGAATTGCGTTGCAGACAAACCCATGCTGGTTCTCCCCAATCAGGAAAGGGCTTCCTTATCAACAATGACCGCACGCAAGCGCTCTTGCAATGCCAGGCGGCGGCGCTTGTCCGGCCATAGGCCTGCTCTGATGCTCCTTCTCCTGCCGGACAGAGAAGTGAACGTTCCCTCTCTCAATCACTCCTACAGTGCAGTGCATCTACACTCCTACCAGAGTGTAGCAGTACGATTGCTACTAGTGATGCTACCCTGAGTAACAGGGGTCCTAATATTTCTGGGCGGTCACGTGGTCATCAGACAATCTTTGCACCTTATTTCCCAGTCTGGAATTTTATCTAATCCAAACTAGTGCTGCTAGGAGCACTACTACCACTGCCTGACCTACTACAACTTAACAGGCAATCTCTGGGACAACAAACAGCGGCCGCCGTTATGGCAATCCCCTCCGAGTTAAACATCATGAGTCAGCTCTTAGCGAGCCCTCAACAGGAGACGTATAGCCGTCAGTTCTCTGAGCATTCGGCGCCTAGCCGCCAACTTTCTGAGAATGGATCTCTCTCCGAGAATCAGTCGGCCAGCCGAGAGGCGTGCGAGCAGGAGTTGGTGCGGCGGCGTGGGTTGGAGGCGATGGTGGCACAGGTGGTGGGTTCGGATGGGCACAGCTGGCTCAAATACGGCCAGAAGCAAGTCAAGGGCTCCACCGCCACCAGGTCAGCCTTGTTGACTTCCATTGACTCGCGTTGACCTCTGTTGACTTGCTTGAACTCCTGTTGACTCTGTGGGTCAGCTTCGTCTGTCCATCATTGCCAGTGAATCAGATGTACGTTCATGTGAGGGCGGAAACCTCTTCCCGCACACATGCTGGGTTGCGCTCGTGCTTCACGTCTCACCCGTGTTCCGCTCCCCCTGTCTCCCTCCTCCCTCACTCTCCCTCCCCCATCACAGATGCTACTACAGGTGCGCTCGCGTCAAATCCAACCCACGATGCCCGGCCAAGAAGACCGTTGACATCACCTGCAGCAACCGCAACGAGCCTCCCTCCCCCGACGCCTTCCAAGTCACCTACCGTTGCACGCTCCACAACCACCCCTTGCCTCCCCGCCAACCTTTGCTCCCCATCCGCCGTCCCCCCACGCGCCACATCTTCCCCCGTAACCACCCCACCAAGTGCTTCAACAAGCGTCCTGCCTACCGCTCTAGCGATCACCCCAATCACCCTAACAAGAGGGTTGCTTTCAGCCCTGCAGACCTTCCCACCGGCCATGCTACTGACGAGCATTTCAACCTCGCGGATTCACACGCTGGGGATGGAGATACTCCGTTTAACGCCGATCGACCTGCTGAATTCAGTGGCGGTCTGAACGCCTTGGCGAGTGAGAGCGATTTTGGTGCAGCTGTGAATGCCCCAGCTGTTGATTCTGGTGGGGCTCTGAGCATCGTGGCGCGGGCGTTGCAGAATGGGAGCGTGGAAGTCAGTCCTGCTCATGCTGCTTGCGCCGCCGACGCTGCTGCTGCTGATGCTGCTGTTGAATTTGAAGATTGGGCTGTCGAAGCCCTCTTGCACTCTCCCTGTCAGCAGGAGCGGCTGATTGAGTCCACTTCCCTGCGTGTGTGGGACCTCCCCCCACTCTCTCCCCTGCCGACCCTCCTCCGGTCATCCCCTCCGTGGCTGGATGAGGTTATTCCCGTTAGTGCCTGCTCCACTGACCTCAGTGCTGCTGCTGTTGACCAAGCGAGGTCTACAGTGTCTCTGGAATGGCTGCTTGTGGCTCTCGGGTGTCAGACGCTGGAAGAAGATCACAGCCGTCGATTCACCGATCAGGACTCGGAATATCCGACGGACGAGATTGACTCTCTGCTGGGAGCAACATCGCCTACGAAGCAAGGCCTCCAAGAGCTGTCGTCACTGCGCTGCAGTGCTACCAACCACCCGGGCCAAGCGGGGCTCCTACAGGAATATCTTGGCGGGAGAGGTATTGAGGAGGAGCAGACCGCACCCGGCGTGGGGCGCAATGGGAAGAACTCCTTCCCCGATTTTCGTTGTCAAGGGGAGGAAGGGTCAGTGCACGGCCCGACAGGGGCAACACCGGGAGCACTGCTGGGGTGTGTGTTGCCGCACGCTGCTGCACTGGGTGCTGCTGTATCTGACGCTCCTGGCTCCCAGCCCCACCAAGATGTGCCAGTGCCACCTTTAACAGCCACCGCTCCTCACACGCTCGTGAGAGGGCAGAACCGGCCGTCCTATGCCATGAATGTGCCACTGTCTGGGATGCCATTTGATTCGACGCGCAAGTCACCAAGTGGGTGTGCCTCATAGCCACTAACAGCCACCACCTTTGATACACCTGTGATTGGGCAGAAGCTCCTAGCCTCTGCAAAGGATGCACTGCCGCTTGGCCCCCGTGCCACTACCCAAGCTTTTGCTCAAGCCTGTGACCAAGCCTGGAGCAGCGGATTTTCGGCTGCTTGTGGCACGAGTTACCATACGTGCAGCACAGATTCTAATACAAGCAGCCCGGATTGCATGTCCCAGCACACGAGCTGCACGGGGAGTGGCATGAATCGCAGCGAGTGGCACTTCCCACCTCTGCGTGCTGAAGCGACTGAGGGAGTGGAGGAGGTAGGACTGGTGCAGCAGCAATGCCAGCAGCAGCAGCAGCAGCAGCATTGGCAGCAGCAGCAGGATCCTCCTGGCATGGGAACGTTCGGCTCTCGAAATTCACGTGTGCTTTCAATGCGCAATGCTCCTCCACCTCAGCTTGCAGCATTCCCAACCGCACTCAAGCACGGAATGTCCCGCCCTCAGAAACCCCTTGTGCCTTCAATGCACCAAGTTCCTCCTGTTCGCCTTGCAGCGTTCCTGGCCGCAGGCGAGCGCGAAGTGTCAGGGCCATTGGCCACTGGCTCGGCTCAGCAGAAGATTATGCGTGGGGGTGTGGTCCCTGCAGCAGCAGTGTTTGCGTTCCTGGGAGGGAGCAACAGCACCCGGGTTTCAGACTTTGCAGCTGCTGACGTGCGGAAATTGATGCAGCTGTGGGTAGAAGGTGCAGCGTAGGAAGGACTTTTTTGTGGGGGGGGGCGGCTACATCAAGAATCACTGTACTCTGAGTGTGCATTCTCCCAATACAGTATGTCCAGTTTTTGTCACTTGCTTGGCTTTCGATGTTTGCTTGTTCACCACCGCACCAGTGTGGTATGCAGGGCTAACTTTAGTAAAATGATCCGTCTGATGTCAAGACCGGGTCCTGGCTCCTTGTCTGATTGTCAGACGAAAGCTGTAACATTGTCTAGCTTTTCACACGAATCCTAAATACTTGTCTGAGATTTCTGTGAAGAAGTTACCAAGCAATATACTATCCAAACAAAAATAGGGAAGTCATGTACCAGCCCTAATGTTTTGTCAGTAGGGTAGAGAGTTGTGAAGACTGAGGTTTCCGGTTCGAGTCTTGTCTCCTGCTACTGCCAGGCAGGTGCAGACATCCTTCGAGAGTTTTGCCTTCAGACTAAAAAGACTCGATATCTGCAGTCTCAGATGAGCTGTATACCGTCATCACCCGGATATAAGACATATATGTCTTATCTCATACACTAAAAAAATGCTTGGGTTATCTTGTATTTGGGGAGGTTTTGGGTGTCTTATAAGTCTTATAAATGGAAACCTTTTAAAACTAATTAGAAATAATTTCACGCATCTTGAAAAGAGTTTCTCATTAAGAGTGTGGATGTTGCGAAGGTGCCACTTCGGCAACCATTGTTCGGGATGACGTGACTTGCAGAGGCAAATTTGGTAGTACGTGAGTCAGCACGTGGCAGAATTCGCGTGTCGCAAGGGTAAAAATGTACGCGGTATTTCAATTTTCACTATAATACATTGCAGTTTCGATTATAAGACACATATGTCTTATCTCGTACACACAAATAGGTGTCGTATAAAAAGGCTTGCCTGTTTATAAGAGACACCCGTATAATAGACAACCCCTGTCTACTATTCAACACTGTCTTATATCTGGGTGATGACGGTAAGGCTGTCTGGGAAATCAGATGAATAGAAAAAGCTTCTCTTAAAAATCAGATGAAATTAAACAGCATGTCTACGACATCAGATGAACCAGTAAAAATGTGTTCAGAATCCAGAAATTCAGACCAAAAATGTCTGATAAAGTAAGCCCTGGTGGTATGCTAAGTGCAGAGTTGAAGAGCTTGCACTGCTACTCAGCTTAGCCAGAACACATGTAACCACAATAAGTTACAACACTAGTCAGGGCGTATTCCTACGGCCTCCTATCAAGAAACCTCCTATCAAGATTGTACCTTTTGCCTGGTAAAAGTAGCGAGAGATTTTGGGTTTAGGGAATTTTCCAGTGAGAGCTTGATAGGAGGTTTTCTTGATAGGAGGATAGGAATACGCCCTCACCATCCCAATGCAAATAGAGAGAACTAGAAAACGATATGAAATTCAGGACTTACCACTTTGGGCCTCCAATCAAGCAGCTAGCTCTACAAAATATAACAAGATCATCTAAGCAAACGTTTAGCAGATCTTATGCCCTATACCCTACCAAGCCAAAAGTTAGCAAAACAAGTCTACGCATCCACAGAAGTCAATAATGTAGACTTAAAAAGTTATTACCAGATACCTAGCTACAGACGAGCCACCGACGAGCTCACTACAGCGCCAATCTTCCATCAAGTCTTGCATCCAGGTTTGACGCCCTCTGAGATATCACAACCATCCGTAGCATCAGAACGGAGCCAGGGACGAGCCAGTTGAAAAAAAGTACAAAGAAAAAGGAAAGAAAACGGACTGCAAGACAGCAAGGGCTGGAGAGAGCTCACGTAGAAATCTGAGCCACTTCTCAAGCAACTCCGAATCACGATTTCCCACCACCCACTCGGAGCAGCATGCTGGGAAACCTCCACTTGTGCTTCAAGTCCTTCACCTTCTCCCCTCCTGCCTTCTCTCCCGGATCCTCAGGCACCTTTGACAGCTTTCCCACGCCCTCTACTGCGCCATGATCCACCTTTCGCTCCTTGCTGAAAGCTGATCCCCCAAACAGATCCCGGCCAGGAGAGGCGGGGATTCGAGCGAACGTGGAGGAGACGAGGGAGTGGGTCGGTGACGGAGGGACGAGGCCGAAACGTGCGGGTGACGGCGGGGTCGAGTAGGAGAGTCTGGCAGATGAAACGGAGGGGAGAGCAGGGGATCCCTTGCTGCTGCTCTGGGCCGGGGAGGCCTTGGCAGAGGGAGCAGCGGCGCGGGGGTGGCGGGGAGTGGCGCCTGCCTGTGCTGTGAGGTGGGAGGAGGTGTGCGAGGGGGACTTGGAGCTGCGGCGGGATCGCAGGGGGAGAACTTCCTCGTCCTCAGGAATAGGCGCTGGCATCTGGTGGTTACCTCCTGCCCCCTCCTGCTGCTGCTGTAGCTGCTGGTGGGTTGGCTGGTGGTGTGAGAGGCGAGCCGGGAGGGAAGAGTCACGGACGAGAGGCAGAGGCAGAGAGGAGTCGCGCACAAGGGGCAGGCCAGCCTGCGGGGAATCACGTGCCGCCAGGGGCACGCCGTCTCTGAGGCGGTCGATGCGCGACTGGTCATAGTCCTTCATGCGATGGCGCATGGACGAGGCTGTGGTGACACACGGCGTGCACGCTGCTGCAGGTGAGGTGGCAGCAGAGGCAGCAGTGGGAACAGCAGAGGCGGCAGCAGAGGAGGCAGCCGCAGCAGGGGCGGGGGTAGAGGCGGAGCGCACGAGTGGGGCGTCTGAAGAGAGGGAGGTCTGGGAGATGGAGCGGCGGGGCCGTGCCGGGGTGGGCGCCCTGTGCTCCCTGGGGGCTGCATTGGTGAAAGGAATGGGGGGATACGGTGGTCGGGAAAAGGAGAAGAGTGAGCAGGGAGAGTGGTTCTGAGGGCAGTAGGATCGGAGCTATGACACAGCTATATAAAGAGAGCGAGCAGCATATACAGCAGAGCCAGCCAAGAGGATGTGAAGGCAGGCATGCGCACACTACCATGCAGCTTCATCGCATCGTACCTGCTTCATCGCAGCTCTCTGGCTCATGGTCGCTCCAACCACCACCACCAGCTTCCCGACTCCCGCCCCTGCTGTTCCTGCCTGGAGACAAAAGCTCCCTGCCCGGAGACGCAACATTCTTCCTCCCTGGAGACACCATGCCTGCCCCTGCCCTGCCCGAAATCACCCCCCTGGGCGAAATCATCCCGCTCTTGACAGACACAGGGGAAGGGGAGAAGCCTGAGAAAGCAGCAGAAGCAGAGCCTCTACCAGGGGAAGGGGAGGAGGAGGTGGAGGAGGCAGAAGAGGAGGAAGGGTGGGTTTTACTGGGGGAGGGCGAGCCTCTGCCAGGGGAGGTGGAGCGGGCGGGCACACCGCTGCGGCTGATGAGGGGGGCGCGGTGGTCGTCGGTGTGCATGCGCACTGCCACCTGCTCCACTCCCACGCCTGGCACCAGCAGCAGCGCCACCGCTGCGAAGGACACGCGTGGGATCTGCCTCTTCCCCTCTGCCTCCTGCTCCTGCTGCTGCTGCTGCTGCTGCTGCTGGCCCTGCAGCTGCTGTGGTTTCTGCTCACTGTGACGCAGAGCAAAGCGGGAGGGACTCCCTGGTTTCTTGAGAGCCCCCTTGCGGACCTTGGGAGCGGTCGCTGCTGCTGCGGCCACTGCTGCCACTGCTCCAGTGGCAGCAGTGGTGGCAGTGAATGCAAGAGGGTTGCGCAACACAGGGAGGGAGACGGATTTACCAGCAGCGGACAATGATACGCCATCTGCAGACGGATCACTGCCACTCTCACTCGCACTGCTGCTGCTCCCACTGCCACTGCCACTCCCACTGCCGCTGCCGCTGCCGCTGCTGCTGCTGCCACTCCCACTGCTGCTGCCGCTGCCACTACTGCTGCTATTAGCCCTGCCCTTCCTCCCCGCTGCCGCTGCTGCCACTGCCTCGGCGCGTGCCTGTGCCTTGAGGCGATCCAACATGCTCAGACCCTGCATCTGCTGGGCTGCTGCTGTGCTAGGCTGCTGCGCTGTGTCTGCTGGGGCTGCTGTGTCTGCTGCCACTGCAGCACTTGGGACCTCCTTCTCTGCTCTCGCATTCTCCACCTCACCCTGCTGCTGTTGGCTTGCCCCTTGCACCACCTTCACTTCGTCCTGTGATGCTTTCTCTGTGCTGCCTGCGCTGCCAGCGGTGTCATCACCACCAGCAACAGCAACAGTGGCAGCGGTAACAGCAGCAGCAGGAGCCGAAGCAGGAGGAGTGGCAGGAAGAGGAAGAGAAGGGACCTTGTCAGGAGTGGACTTGGAAGCAGGTGGTGGGGTGGAAGGAGCAGCATCCACAGCACCTGCTGAAGTCACCACAGGGGCAGCAGCCGGTGCAATTGCACAAGGCTGAGCAGCAGCAGCGGTGCCAGCAGGGGCGGCAGGCAGGCCAATGCTAGTGAATTCCGAGTGCACGCACGGCAGCAGCGCCACCGGCATGCCAAACTGCTCTGCTGCTGCGTCTGCCACTCCTGACCCTGCTCCTACCGCTTCTGTGCCTGCTGCTGCTGCTGCTGCGGCGGCAACATCACCCTCTTCCCCCCCATCAATCACCACCGCCTGAATGACAGGTTCCACTAGGCTCTGCGTGACAGGGTCCAGCACGGGCGCTAGAGGCGCGCTGGCCGTGCGTCCCTTCGTCCCTGCTCCTCCTGCTGGCTTTGCTGTCTTGCTGCTCTTGACGCTGCTTCCCTTGCTGTTGGCACTCTTCCCACCGCTGCTTTTGGCAGCGCTGCCGATGCTGCCAGTGGTGCCTCTGCTCTTACTCTTGCTCTTGCTCGCACTGGTAGCACCAGCCCGTGCCACGCCCGCCGAACCGCTGCCGGACCTGCTGCCACCGCTGGTGGCCTTGCTTCCGGACCTGCTGCGGTTGCCGGACCTGCTGCCGCTACCGGACCTGGTGAGCTTCACCCCTTCAGGCTTGGCGCCGGGTGTGCCAGTCTGCTCGCTCTTCTGACTCTTCTGCTCTTTCGCCTTGGCCTTGCCAGTGCTGCTGCTGTTGCCAGTGGCAGCGTTGACTCCTGGTGTTGCTGCTACTGCCACGCTGGCAGCCAGGTTCTTGCAAGCCCCGCCAGGCGATTCAAGCTCTATCTCACTCCCACTCTCGCTCCCACTCCCACTTCCGCTCCCACTAGCACTCCCTTCCCCACTCTTGCTTCCACTCCCGGAACCACTGCTGCTGCTCGCACCACTGCCGCTGTAACTGCCACTGCTGCCGCCACTGCTGCCGCCGCTGCTGCCGTCACTGCTGCTGGCACCGCTGCTGCTGCTGGTGTCAGCAGCATCAGCGCGCTCATAGCTCTCATAGCTCCTCACTGTCACTCTGTCCTCAGACGAGTTTGACGACGACTGTGTGCACGACTCGCACGACGAACCCTCCTCCTCCTCCTCCACCCATCCGTCCATTAGCTCTGCTGCACTGCCACCAGTGCTGCCTGCAACGGCAGCCTTTGCTGCCGCCTCAGCAGCTGCTCTTGCAGCCGCTGCCACCGCTGCGAGTCTCTCCTCTTTCTCCCTCTCCTCCCTCTCCCTCGCTTCCTTCTCCTCCTGCTCCTGCTCCTGCTCCTGCTCCTGCTCCTGCTCCTGCTCCTGCTCCTGCTCCTGCTCCTGCTCCTGCTCCTGCTCCTGCTCCTGCTCCTGCTCCTGCTCCTGCTCCTGCTCCTGCCCCTTGCCTTTCGCCTCTACTTCCTCCGCCGACCCTCCCTCTTCGAAAACCAACACTCCAATGCTCTCGCTCCCCTCCCCAGCCTCCTCCCACTCCACGCCCTCACTCCCTTCGCTCCCCACAACCACCTCTCCCCTCTCAATCCTCCCAATCTCTGCCCAATCCACAGACCGAGACACTTGCCCCTTCTCCCTCTCCCCCTTCCCTTCCGCCTCCGCTTCCCGCCTCTCCCCCTTCTCCCCCTTCCCCCGCCCGCCGTCCCTCCCCCCAAAGACCAGGGAGAAGTCAAACGATGCAGCAGTCCCGCCGATCCCCGCCCCATGCCCCCCTGCCCCCGCCTTCTTCCCAAACACCCTTCCGCCTGCGCCCTCTCTCCCCTTCGCTCTCCCTGTCTCCTTCCCACCTTCCCTCGATTTCACACTCCTTCTTGCCTTCTCCTCCTCCTTCCTCCTCTCCTGCACCCTCTCTTCCCTCTCTTCTTCCCTCTCCTTCTCTCTCTCCCTCTCCCTCTCCTCCTCCCTCTCCCGCGCCCGCTCCTCCTCTTTCTCCACGGATCGCCGCATGAGCTCCTGCTCCTGCGCGATCCGCGCCACCAGCGCCGTCACCGCCGCCGCAGCCGCCTCCGCGCGCACCACCGCCGCCTTCGCCGCCGTCGATTCCCCCTGCCGCTGCCATCCGCCACTCGTTCTCAACCCCGCATCCCCATTCCCTGATGCACCAGCACCGGCAGAAGCACCAGCAGTAGCAGTAGCAGGAGTGGTGACGTCATGCGGCCAGCTGAGGTCTAGCGGCGGCGGAAGTTCCGCGGCGCGCATCCTGGCGGCATCCGGGGAGCCCTGCGTGGCTCCCTCCCCTTTCACGCGCTGCTGCATTCGCGACAGCAGCGGCGAGTGCACCGCTGACGATGAGGATGGCATGTGAGTGTTGCCCTCCCCACCCCCTACACCCGCCGCGCGCCCATCCTTGCTGCGGGCGACGGCTGCAGTGGCGGCGGCGGCACTGGCGGCGGCAGCAGCGCGCAGTGCCGGGGACGTGAAAGCAGCAGGCGCGGCTTTGGGTGATGCGAGCGCGGAGAGTGATGCCGGCGCAGCCTTGGGGGAAGCATACGCGGAAGATGCGGCGGTCTTTCCGCGCCACTCTAGCGCTGCTGACGGCAGCTGCGCGCGGAAGGCGGGTGATGACGTGGCGGAGGACGATTGGACGGCGGGCCGTGCACGCGGAGACATGGGCGGGGAGGCGCAGGCGAGCAGCACAGGCAGAGAGTCCGCCCCCTTGGCAGTCACACTGCCTTCCGACCCTTGGTTACTGCAACCCCCGCTTCCACTCCCGCTGTCTCCGCCGCTCTCTTCATCAGCCTTACCACCTCTCTTTGATTCCGCCTCACCACCGCAAACCTGCCGCTTCTTCCCGTTCTCCGCCTCTCCCTCCCCCTCCCCATTCTCCCCCACTCCGCCCTCCCCCTGCAGCATACTCTCGCACAGCGCAACCATGTCCCCCACGTCCATCCACTTGCGCGCCCCTCCGCGCTTTACCCCCTCTCCGCTTTCATCTTCCGCCACCTTCCCCCCTCCCCGCTTCTCCTCCGCAACCTCCCCCTCTATCTGCGCGGCCATAGTCTTTCCGCCGCCTGCCTGCGCACAACTCACCGATGCAGCTCCGCCTGCGTCTCCGCCTCCGCCTGTCTGCCCGCTGCTTCGGTCGCACGTCCCTTCCGCCGGCATCAGCGCCGCCAGTTGCGCCAGAAGCACCTCTTCTTGCTCGCCCCCTCCCTCCTCTTCAATCCTCTTCTCTTCCTCCCTCCTCTCCCCCTCCTCTCCCACCTTCTCATCCTTTCTCTCCTCCACCTTTTCCGCCTTCACTCCCTCTTTTCTCACCTTCTCTCTCTCCTCCTCTCTCGCCGCCTCGCCTCCCTCTCCTCGCTCCTCCTCCTCTTCTGCAACGTCTTCCTCTTCTGGAACGCACACGAGGGATTTCTGAGCGCCAGCATCGCCTTGCACCGCGTTGGACCGCGCCTCATCATTACCACTCTTGCTCTCCACTGTCGCCTCTTCCTCATTCTTCCCCTGCTCTTCCCCTTCCGCCTGCACCCCCCGTTCCCCCTCCGCTTCTCCCATCTTAAGCCCCCTCTGCTCTCCCCCCTGTTCTTCCGCCTGCTCCCCCTCTTCCTCCGCGTCATGCCACTCCTCACTCTCCGCCTCCTCACTCGCAACAGCGGAGGCGGCGGGGAGGCCAATATCACCAAACGCGCCGGCACCAAGAGAGGCAGCCGGCAGCCCGATATCAGCGAAGGCAGCGAGCTTGGACGGCAGCAGCGCCGCCGGCATGCCAAATTGCGCGTCACTGTGTGTTTCCTCCTCCTTCCCGGCTGCTTCTGAACCGCCATTACAGTCACTTTCGGCCGGCACAAGCACCACCGCAGCGGCGGTGGCGGCGGAAGCGTCCGAGCCGCGACAAGCGGCAGTGGCGGCAGAGGCGGCGGCGGCGGCGGCGGCGACAGGAGGACCAGTAGGGGAAGAAGCAGGGGCAGCGGCGTCTGCAGCAGCGACGGGGGCAACAGCATCGGCAGCAGCCTGAGCAGACGAAGCATTGCTCACAGAATTGCTACTTTCAAGGCTTGCCACTTCTATCGCCTTCCGACCGCCACCACCCGTAGCACCACCCGCAGCAGCAGGCGCCAAGGACGCCGGGATTTGCGGCTCCAGGACCAGAGTTACCAGAGCCGTTACCTGCTGCTGCATCCTCAGCAGCCTCTCTCGCTCTCCGAGCCTCCCTGCCGAGCCTGCTGCTGAGGCTGTTGTCGAGCCTGAGCGGTTCGCGACCGAGCATGTCACGTGGACGAGGCCCCGCTCCAGCGCCCAGAGTACGCGGTCCACGTCAGCAGCTGCCATGTGGCGCAACGAGGCGTCGACGCATGCCATGTGCACGAGCCAGCGCGCCACGTCACGCGGCTGCGAGGGGAACACGTGCCCGCTTTTGGTTGGCTGGGCGCGGATGTTTGTGTGAGAGAGCTGCTGCTGCGGTTGGCGCTGCTCGCGCTTAGAGAGGGGCAGAACGAAGGGCAGCATCACGAGCTGAAGCTGCAGCGAGGCGGCGGACGACGCGGAGGAGGCGGAAGAAGCGGAAGAGGCCGAAGCAGCAGTATGGGCGCGGCACGGCACGATCACGGGCACCAGGTTTCCGCTTCCTCTTCCGCTCTCCCCCTGTCCCCCCTCGCTCTCCTCCCAGTCCCCCACCCATGCGCGCTCCAGCGCTCCCGCCACGCGCTCTTCCGCTTCTTTCACCGCCTGCGCCTCCGCCGATCGGGCACTCCCCATTTCCCCTCTACCTGCGCTCTCCGCCCCGTCGATCTCCGCCATGCGCTCTTTGAACTTGCCGATGATTTCATGAGATCTGACGGCTGTGATCACTCGAGCCACCACCTCCAACATCTCCGCGCCCTCGCTCTCCCACGAGCCAATAGCAGCCCTTCCCGCGCTTTTCCTGCTTGTGCCATTACTCTCCCCTCCCCCATCCGCCGCTATTCTCGCTGGACCTTCCGGCTCCTCTCGTCCACGGCAGATCGCCAGCCACTTCTCCGCGAGTTGCGGAGGAGACACGCCGTCATTCCCGCCGTCAGATGCGCAAACGCACGCAGCATCGCCGCGAGGACCGGAGACTTTTCGGCAGCGAGAACAGACGCCCATGGCGGCTTGGAGGCAGCGCAGGTCCGACAGCTTGCGCGCGAACGACAGCGCGATGCCCGAAAACGCCGCCTTCGCACTCGCATTCGCATTCGCATTCGCATTCGGCCCACCAGCCACGTCAGCCGCCTCAGCGCGCGCCAGGGGGCAAACGTCGAGTGCAGCGGCAGAGGAAGCGAGGAGATCGAGCAGCATCTGGCGGCAGAAAACGTAAAACTGCAACAGCGGACTCCGCTGCAGCGCCTCCCAGTCCGCGCATTTTCCCCCCGCCGGCCGCGCGGCGGAGCGCTGTTGCGGAGCTCCCCCTGCGTGCAGCAGGCGCATTGCGACCCCCTTGAACTGCGCCGCCGGTTGCGGCCAGAGGTGGACGGACGATAGCTGACACGAGAGCTCGAACACGCTGTATCCGTGAAGCTTCTTGGAAGCTTCGAGGTACGCAAGGAAGAGCGGGGAGATCTGTAGCGCAGAGGCCCCCGCGGGGTGCGCGCGGAGGTGGTAGACTGTAGCTACCGCAGGCCTAGAAAGCTGGTTCGCTTGATTCGACGAACCTGCCCCTCCCATGCCTGTTGCAGTGATAGAAGCGAGTGTGCTTGAATGGAGCAGCTGCGTCATCAGATTGTTGCCTTTCGCTGCAGTCGTGACACTTGAACCCGTGGCCTTTTGTTCACCCACAGTAGCCGACGCTTTTCCGCCATTCCCGCTAACGGCCGCTGCAGAGGAGCCCGCTCGCGCCAGCGCCTGCTCCAATCCGCGTAGCTGCGCGGCTTCTGTCGCAAAACGCTGCGCCGTCATTGCGCGGATTGCGGCTGCGCCTGCAACGCCAGCGCTTCCCCCATGCGCCCGTGCACGCAACGCTGCGCGCATTCCCCCACCCTCGGGCTCCGAAAGAAACCCAGAATCAACAGAATGGGGAACCGCTCCTTGCTGCATGCGCTCTTGCGCCAGCGCCGCCGCCCATTTCTCCGCCGCGCCTAGGGTGCGCGGAGGGCCCTTGGGAGACGCACGTCGAGGGGAAGCGGGGCGGCGGCTTCGGGGGGAGCCGTCCCGCAAGGCGCGGGGTGACGGTGTGCGTTTGTACTTAAATCGAGGAGCATTCTTACCGGAAGCTGCTGCCGACCGCGAGTTGAGAGCGGCACCGCTGCTGAGACCCTCAGCGGCAGCAGTGCTGATTTTAAGACTAAGCTTTCCGCTAGCGCTACTGGCATCTGCACTACCATTCGTTCCACTCGTACCAGCCGTTAAATTACTTCCGGACCCACTCGTTCCGGCGCTGCTTCGCTCCGAGCCGGCAGCCGGCCCAGGGATGCGCGAACTGGAGGCAAAACGATCCATCGCCTCACCGGACCGCGCTCGATTCTTGTTAAAACTGCAACGGCTAGCTTTGTCAGGTTTCCATACCGATGCTGTGCAGCTACCGTCGGCCGCTCTCGTATCGTAGGTCTTCGTGCCGGCCGTGTGAAGCCGATATCTACTAATGGCGCCGATATCTACTAATGGCGGTGCTTCGCGAGGCGCTGGTTTTTAGCAATCTAAACGCGCATAAATTGGTCTACTAGGAGTTTGGATAACTTCAAGTTGGCATTGAGAGTGCCCAAGCATTTGGTGCATGTGACCTGTTCCAACGTGACTCAGACGGTGCGGGGGTCTATCGCGCCAGTCAGCTTGTTTAGAAAGAACCTGCAAAGCGACGAGGAGACTGTTGACACAGACGTGTGCTGCGGGATGGACGGCCGATGGCTGTCGGATTAGTCTTTCGATCAGTTGGGGTCAAGTTGACGTAGTGGTGGCGCAAAGTCGTCTTGCGTAAGCTACGCATTGGGGCAATGAGCATGTGAGGGGCGCTAATGGGCCTCCTGTGATTGGTCAATGTGTGCGAGTCGCTCATTCCGAAGCAAATGGGAAGGTTTGCCTTCTAGTTTTCCAGAGACTGTGTCTCGGGGGTGTTGGGCAACACTGGGCTAGGTTGGTGTGAAGGGAGTGGAGAGGTACGGGTGGTGCTAAAGCACGCGGCAATGGCGAATCGAGATAGAGCATGAAGAGGAGTGGGGGATTGAGATTCCGAATCGGCAAACCGCGAATCGCGAATTTATTTCTTTACAGTCACACAAGGGGGCCGGTCAACCACGGGTCGTGGGGTCACATGTCCTAGCTACTCCAACAATGTATCGAAATTCCATTTGCGACGGGAAAGTAGACCAATCTTAATACGTGTTACATGTGTTCATCTTATTCGTGGATGTCGTCAGTCTCTGGGACAAGACGGAGCCGCGTCAAGTCTGGAGCCGGCCATCTTCTATTGAAAGTGTAAACCTCAATAGGTGCAGGGTACAGTCTTCAACTTTATGCTCTTATAAAATTATTGAAGAATGAATTTTCTACATCATAATCAATCAATTACAACTGTGAAGGCTCTTTCGAGTATTTTTTATTTGTATCCTGTTTATAAAAATAAATAAAAAAAATCGGTTAGGACGTGCAGATCTCCTAATCATAACACGATTTTCTCCTTTAATGCAATTGAAATCGCATGCATTCTACTTGGTGAGGATGCTCAAGTTAACAGATATATTATATATGGTTTGCTTCGTACATAAACGATGGTTTGTAGGGAGACAAGGAGGGAGTAAGCTAGTTCTGTATACTCTTGTATTATCTGTCTCTCCTATCTCTGTGTGAAGTCACTACACAATTATTTTGTTGGCGTTGTTCGCCAGCACTTTTAACAACAAAAATGACGGGATCAGGAAGGTCAGTCTCGGCTTCCTGATCCGTCCGTTAGGGTTCGTTATGGTCCGTCAAGCAGGTCAGCCCGCGAAATTCTTGTCGAGCCTATGATTCCGCCCGAACCAAACGGAATCATGTTGGCCTGTCGAACGCCCTCCTTTTCATTCATTTCGAATGGAATCGTGAAGGTAGGAAAGTGGGTCGGGAGCTTCCTCTACAGGCAAACGTTGGTCCCGTTGCCATTCCATTGCCATTCACCCCCCCAAGCAGAATTGCCTTGGAATGGCCATGGGATTGGAAGGATGTGTTGGGGGGGAACGGGGAATTGGAAGGTGGGAGGGTGGTTCCTGATCCCGTTGCCACCCTTCCCCTTTCTGGCGCGAAATTTCGCGATTTGGCCATTCCCCCCACGCCTATTCGGGAGGTTCCTCCTCTGGTTCGTGATTCCACGACCATTCCGAGGCCTTTCTTTTTTTAGATGTGCTGGCGAACACCGCCGTTGAGTTGTCGGCCGTCTCCTAAACGAGATGCGACTGGTTGCGATGCTTCCGGAACTCGTCAATCTACACGGTGACATGAGTCGCATGCGTCGGAACGTGGTGTTTTGGTCGCCGACACCACCACCCGGTCGTGTAAAGCGGTCGGTTGACCTGCAGGTGCGAACTTTCTGAGAAAAAAAAAAACCCTCATTTTCTGGGTTCTCACAACGCATTTGTCAGCCCCAGCTGCCCAATCGCGGGTTTCCGTGCGCCAACCATCCCACCACACCTCTCACATCCCACTCGTGAGGCGCCTCGTCAGCTCACCCGCCTGGTGCCTGCTTGCCTGCCTCTGCTACTTTCCACACCGATTGTCACACCACACCGACGCGGACAGCCCGCGCAACCGAAATGTGAAAGCCAACATGCGGCTCGGAAATTTCTTGCACATTCAAAATCAAATGCGTGCTGCACTGCTTCTCGCAGTCGTTTGTTGTTTCACCCCAACTTAGTCACTGGAAACTCAAAAATACAAATCACACGATTCCACGCTCCAAACCGAAGCCCAGTGGTCAACGCTTTCAACTCCAACTCAGGCTACCTTTATTGCCACACCTCATAAAGCAGTTTAGACCGAGTAACACGATTGCCTCTGACCAGAAATCTCGCGCTCTTCGCGATGGCTGCTCGAACTACTCAGCCTTGGTCGAATCTCCCCCTAATGGTTCTCTCGACCGCCCTCACCTTAGCCGCCACAGCCGCAGCTGCCGGCGACAGTCTCGCGTTCTGCAAGCAGTACCCCGCGCGCAACCCGAGCAAGTGCCCCGCCGTGCGGCCAGTCAGCAGCCTGAACGTGGCGCGGCTGAAGGGGCGGTGGTACGAGGTGGCGGCGTCGTCGGCGCACAAGTACACGGCGGAGCTCGGCGCGGCGTGCACCGCCTTCGAGTTCGACGCGGCGCCCAAGCAGAACGGCCTCAGCGCCATGCGGTATGCAATTTGCCTTCATGCTCCTTGGTCATCCCACTATCCTTCATGGATTGCAAACCCTTCTCTTCCCCAAACTCATTCGTCCTCTTCTTTTCCCCACTATTTCCAGAATCTCCTGCCCCCATTCCGCAGGGAACTGTCCGATTCCGCCATTTCTCCCCCCCCCCTGTCCCCCTTCCATCTCCTTTCCCTTCACCACTCCCCTTCCCCGTTCCCTTCCCCTCTCCGCTTCCCCATCCACTTCCCATCTCACCTTCCCTTCTCCCATCACGCTTTCCCCCCCGGCACGTCCGCAGCGTCACGAGGCGAGTCGTCGAGGCGGTGGGTCCCGTCCGCGCAACGCAGGTCGGCACCATCGCCTCCGCCTCCCTCCGCTCGGCGCGCAACCTGCGCGGAGTGTGCTCCGCCATCGCCGGCCAGAAGCTCCCCTCGGAGCTCTCTTACGCGTCGCTCGTCGACCAGGCGAAACTCGGCCTGCCGGCCGCCGGCTTGGACGGCAAAACTGCCGGCCTGACGTCCAACAGCCTCTCCGGCATCTCCGCGGCGCTAGGCCAGATCTCCGCGCAAGCCGGCGCCATTCACGCGAGGCTCGCGCGCATCCAGACGGATCTCGCGCCGGTGAATCAGTTCGACCGGGTACCGAGCCTCAGCACGCTGCGAAACAGGATCGGGAATACAACAGAGGCGATCCGACGGTCGGTGCACGCGATTCAACGGTCGAGAGGGAGGATCTTGAAGCAGGCTGAGCAGATGCGCTTGGGCGTCATGAACGTGCATTCGTCTTCTGCGTCCAAGAAGAACCGACTCCAGGTACTACCTTTCCCCCACCGACGCGTCTCTGGGCACTTATGAGGCGCCCCATAAGCAGCCATCTCCGCTGCTGCTCACCCCCACGCCTTCCGCACCCCTCCCCCTGCTCCACTTGCCCCCCCCCTCCCCCTGCTCCACTTGCCCTCCCCCTCCCCGTGCTCCTCCTTACCTAGCTCTCCTTGTGCGCGTGTTTTGAGGTACCCCCTTCCTGCCTCCCTGCACCGTTCCCCCTCCTCCGTCACCCTCAACTTCTGAACGCCACGCTCGCCCTGCAACGGCAGGCGCCCGCTCTGCCGTGTGCGACACCACCCACCAGCACTCTAGAGTCGACTAGAATTTTACATCCCCTCTTTTTCCTTTCCCTCCTCTGCCCCCCTCCCAGCTGCTAAACGCCACACTCGCCATGCAGCGGCAGGCGTCCGCTGTGGACACTCTAGCCGTCTCCGCCGCCAAGATTGGCCTTCTCTCCTCCCTTGCCACTCCCGCCGCCAGCCCCTGGGCGTGGATTGATGAATCTGAAAACAACCCATCATGCCCTCCCTCCCCTGCCCTGTTCTCTTTCTCCCCTCCTCCCCGCAACCCCCCTCCTCAGCTGCTCAACGCCACGCTGGCCCTGCAGCGGCAGGCGTCCGCTGTGGGCACACTAGCCGCCTCTGCGGCCAAGATTGGCCTCCTCTCTTCGCTCGCCACTCCCGCCGCCGCCACGCTCTTCGAATCGCCCGTTAACCTCACCCAGGCCGTGAGCGTGCGAGGCACACTGGTGCAGGGCAAGCAGGAGGGGGATGGGAACGTGGCGATGAAGTTTGGAGGGGATCCTGCTGTGAGATACTCGGTTGTGCATGCCACGCCAGGGTTTGATCTGGTTGTGCTGTACGGGTGCTCTGCGGCCAACCGGGCCAAGCTCGCAGCCACGGAAGGACAGGTGAGGTGTTGGCAGAGTTTCAGGAGAGGATGGTGTTAGTGTGGTTCTGGTATGTCATGTCGCTTGTGCCTGTGCTGGTGCCGGTGCTTGCGCTTTTGCGTGTGCTTGTGCCTGTGCCTGTGCTTGCCTGCCAGCCGTTTCTGTCAACTCTTGCACACAAAACCGTCTCACTCCTCCACCCCATGTGCAGGCCAAGGTGTTGGTGCTGGCAAGGCAGCGGACAGTGTCTGCCAGTGAGCTTGCGGGTGTGGAAGCAGCACTGCAGGCCAAGGGCGTCGTGCTGGGTGGTGCCAACGTGCTGGTTACCACAGACCAGTCCTGCCCGTAACCACTCTATGAATGCTGGTGGTTTCCTCGTGCTGAGGTCCAAAAGCAAAACAGAGGTTGACATACCGAGTGGTGTGTCATAG